AAAACTTTTGAAGGAAGGGAACCTTTCTCTCCATCCAGTGGAGCCTTGCCTCCAAGTGGGCAGGACAAACTCCGTTGTTTTGGGTTTATTTTCCTTCTCTTTCTGTCTGTAGGAAAGTGACCCCATAATGTTGTTTATGAACTGCTGGGCTCATCCTCAACCTGTGTAGGTATGCATCTGATACCAACTGGCATAATAAAAACTTTGATAACTGAGATAATGAATAGACCTACACCCAGATCCCAGACTGACCACTGGATGAAACACTTGTGGGACAGATCTGAATAACACTGCCAAAGCTCAGAAAACTGAATTTATATGGAACCACAACCCACCGAAGACTAAAATAAAAATACCAATATTCTCCACAGAATATAAAGAAAACTGGCCAGGCACAGTGGCTCATGCCTGTAATCCCAGAACTTTGGTAGGCCGAGACAGGCAGATCACATGAGGTCAGGAGTTCCAGACCAGCCTAGCCAACATAGCAAAATCCCACCTCTACTAAAAATACAAAATTAACCAGGCATGGTGGTGCACACCTGTAATCCCAGCTACTTGAGGTGGGGATCACACCTGTAATCCCAGCACTTTGGGAGGCTGAGGCAGGCAGATCACTGAAGGTCAGGAGTTCAAGTTCAGCCTGGCCAACATGGTGAAACCCCATCTCTACTAAAAATACAAAAATTAGCCAAGTATGGTGGCGCATGCCTGTAATCTCAGTTATTTGGGAAGCTGAGACACGAGAATCACTTGAACCTGGGAGGTGGAAGGTGCACTGAGCCAAGATCACACCACTACCCTCCAGCCTAGGAGACAGAGCAAGACTGTCTCAAAAAAATACATAAGTAAATAAAATAAATAAATAATAATAATAACGGGTATAGAGCTTCAGTTTTGCAAGATCAAAGGAGTTCTGAATATTGGCTGCAGAGCAATGTGAATGCACTTAACATTTAAAGATGGTTAAAATGGTAAATTTTTATGATATGCTAATTACTTCCCTACTCCAAATGTTAAACACTTTTGTTAAACACTTCATTCACAGAAAGTACTATACCTTTTAATAATTAGGACTAGAGGGTACAGGAGGGTTAGGAGTAATAAAAAAGTCATGTAACTTCTGTATTAACAAAAACCTGTAAAAACATGAACTGAATGTTGTTTTTCAAAAAAGAATCATTGTAATTTTAGAACCAGGAATCTCATTTTAAAAAATGGTAAGTAGGAGAACACTAATCTCTAAGCAATATAACTTACTTCTTCCAGAATTACTAAAAGTCCTTTTTGCATTTTAAAATAATTTGTACAGGCCCTGCACAGTGGTGCACACCTATAGTCCCAGCTATGCAAAGAGACAAGTACGCTATGATCGCGCCTATGAATAGCCACAGCACTCCAGACTTGGCAATACATAGTAAGACCTGTCGCTAAAAAAATAAATACATAAAAATAAAATTAACTTTACATAGTCATGTATCTTTACCCAAGAACTTTATCATTTACTTCCTTCCAAGGATTACATAAAGTACCAAAATAAACACTACCATATTTGTAATTTCTTAAGAGTGTTTAGGAACTTTTGTTGTTATTTGTTTCAGAGAACAGTATTTCACTATTTGAGAGATTTTCATCCCCTTAGGTACAGGCCTACAGAAGATAATGTATTCAATAGATCTGTATCAGATATCAGCAATTAACCTACTCTGACTTCTTAAAAGCAAAAGGGAGCTAAAAACAAATGTTTAAAACAAAAAGTCAAGTTAAATGCTTAAAGGCTTTCTGTATGCTTGCACATATATGCATATATTTGTTATTTAAGATATAGTATTTTACATTACCTATAATCATTATTCCTAATCTGTCTATTGTAAAATACCTTATCTTGGTTTTATTTATTTTTGGATTTTTTCAGAGACAGAGTCTCTCTCTGTCACCCAGGCTGGAGTGCAGTGGCACAGATCTCAGCTCACTATAACCTCCACCTCCTGGGCTCAAGGGATTCTCCCACTTTAGCCTCCAGAGTAGCTGGGGTTACAGGCGTGCACCACCACACCCAGCTAATTTTTTGTATTTTTAGTAGAGACGGGGTTTCCCTATTTTGGCCAAGCTGGCCTCCAACTCCCTGCCTCAAGTAATCCACCCATCTGGGCCTCCCAAGGTGCTGAGATGGCAGGAGTGAGCCACTATGCCAGGCCTCATCTTGTTTTTAAATGCAAAAAAAAACAAAACTCACTCCTGTCATCCCAGCCCTTTGGGAGGCCAAGGTGAGATGGCTTGACCCTACGAGTTCAAGACAAGCCTGGGCAATACAGCAAAACCCCATTTCTACAAAAAATACAAAAATTAGCCAGGCATGGAAGCTTGCATCTGTAGTCCCCATTACTCTGGAGACTGAGATAAGAGGAGCACTTGAGCCCGTGAGGCGGAGGCTATAGTGCTAACTGCACTCCTCCCTGGGCAAAAGAGGAAGACCCTATCTCAAAACAAAACAAAAACAAAAACAGCTTTCTCAATTACTGTACCTTTTGAACTAAAATATATTGTTCCACAAAAATCAGTCAATTCTGATCATTAACATTTGAGAATTAACAAACTTCTGATATTGCCTCTACTGACACACTAGGTGGTTCAGTTTTTCTCCATTATAGAATTTTACCGCAAATACTAGGGAAATAGTGCTGAACCAACTCTGTTAAATTAAACTCATTATGATGTAAATCACTTTGGAATGAGAAAGTATCTAGATAGCAAGAAAATCTTCTGGGTCTTCTGCTTCCTAAAGCCTATTGTCCATTCCTATAGTGAACAGACGACAATCACATGTAATGTTTACAGAATTCTCTAAAAATATTTTCCATCACATCCAGAATTTGAGTATTAGTTATATTCAAACCTGCCACAGGCAGTTTATATAACTGGTGGCAGTCAATAAGGCAACCAAATACTCTATAACTTTGCAGTTTTCTCATCCCACTGAAAAAACTTGGCCAGGCGTGATGGCTCAACGCCTGTAATCCCAGCACTTTGGGAGGCCGAGGCATGTGGATCACGAGGTCAGGAGATCGAGACCATCCTGACCAACATGGTGAAACCTCATCTCTACTAAAAATGCAAAAAATTAGCTGGGCGAGGTGGCACATGCCTGTAGTTCCAGCGACTCAGGAGGCTGAGGTAGGAGAATGGTGTGAACCTGGGAGGCGGAGCTTGCAGTGAGCGGAGACCGTGCCACTGCACTCCAGCCTGGGCGACAGCGCAAGACTCCGTCTCAAAAAAAAGAAGAAAAACTTAAGATATTTACCAGAAATTTAGCACAATCCTGGAAAAATTGTACACAATCCTGTACAATCCTGAAAAAGACTTCCCTTAAAGAAACAGAGACAGACAAAACAAACATGGAGGTATATAATGATTATATTGGCATTCGGTCCTCAAATTTATATTGGAAATCAATTTCCCAAATAATTCTCAAATTATTCAAACAAACAAGAAAAAAAAAGACCCAAGTAGGCTTTGAACTAACACGTTCTTAAAACAACAACAACAACAACCCAACTCCAAACTACAAATCTTATCTTCCATCTTGTTTATAAACTCTCTACTTTTGATTGTAGCAGTATACTGTTTTGTTGACACAAAAGAAAATTCCAGGCCAGATGCAGTGGCTCATCCCTATAATCACAACACTTTGGGAGGCCGAGGAGGGTGGATCACCTGAGGTCAAGAGTTCAAGATCAGCCTGACCAGCATGGTGAAACCCCATCTCTACTAAAAACACAAAATTAGCCAGGCGTGGTGGCACATGCCTACAATCCCAGCTACTTGGGAGGCTGAAGCAGGAGAATCACTTCAACCCAGGAGGCAGAGGTTGCAGTGAGCCGAGATTATGCCATTGCATTCCAGCCTGGGCAACAAGAGCAAAACTCTTTCTATAAAGAAAGAAAGAAAAGGAAGAAAAAGAAGAAAAGGAAGAAAAAGAAGAAAAGGAAGAAAAGAAAGAAAGAAAATTCCAAATCTATTTCACTTTTTTTCTGTTTAGACATCTTATTTTCAATATCATACTCTACTACACAAGAACATATCAAATTCTTATTGAACTCATACACCATAATATCCTGCAAATATTCCTCTTTTTAATATATTTCATGTTATCTGTATTACCTTAAAAGTAATACAAATCGTGGCAAATATTTTCCAAAGATGCCTACAACATTAGATTCCATCCCATATGCTCTTCTTACAATGTGATGTTGATCTTTCAAGTGGTGGGGTCTATGTCCACAGCTTCCTTGAAACCTGGGAGGACCTTTACAACTACATCAACTGGTAGGACAGAGCAAAGTAACACTATGTGACTTCCAAAACCAAGTCAAATATGCCATGCACCTTTGCCTTCCTCTCTTGGGATGCTCTCTCTCTTGGAACCCAGGTACCATGCTGTGAGGAAGCCGAGCAGCCACAAGGAGAGGTCACATGAAGGTGTTCTTGCCAACAGCCAGCATTAACCACCAGACATGTGAGTGAGCATGCCTGCCTTCAGATGATTCCGGTTCCCAGCCACTGAGCCACTCCAACCCTTCTAGCCATCTTACCTCATGCTATATGTTAACAGAGAAAAGTATCCCTACCAATCAAGCCTTGCTCAAATTGCAAATACATGAACAAAATAAATGACTGTTGTTTTAAGCCACTAAGTTTGAGGTACTTTGTTACACAGCAATAGATAACTGCAACACAAGCTCATAAATACAATCAGGAAAACAGACAAAAAGAAAAACAATTTTAATTATTCTAAGTTTTACCATTATAAAACATTTTGACACACATCTTACAATTAAGAAAACGTTTTGCCCTACCCACCTAATATTCCAAGTGATTTTATCAGGACAAAGGGTTATATTTGTAAAGGCAATAAAATGTTTGTATCTAACTACAAACAGGAAGAAAGACTGTTAGCCTTCAATCCACTTTGCTTATCCTTAAATATCTCTTTCACTTACCTGTCCTAAGTGAGGTGTCTGAGGATTGCTGGCCCACCAATATTCCAATCTATGGATATAGATCAAGACCTTGAGTTGTAACAGCAGCTGCACTGGCACTTTTCCCCAGAAGAAGTTGCTTAAGCCTCAAATCTGAAATTTTCAAGGAAAGAAAATCTTAAATATACACACCTCCTTTCAATCACTTAAAATTTCACTTCTATAGTTGAGTAAGGACTGATGGAGTTGGTTAGGATACATGGAAGTGAATGCACAGGTTTCACTAAAAATAGAGTTGGCCTGTGCAATTCTTGAAACAGGGCAAAAATAATAACAGTTTTAAAAACTGAGGTGGATAATATGCATTCAGGTTCCAGCCTTACATTCTTAAGAGCTATATGATCTCAGTTAAGTAACAAATTCTCTGTGCATAAGTCTGATTATGTGATGAAGACTGAGGGAACCAGATCAAAATTTTGAGCTAGGAGTCAGCAGACCTGGGTTCCAAACTCAGTGATCATTCTCCCTTGCTGTAAGACCTTTGATACGTCTCTACGGGCTCGATTTTATCATCTCTAAAAGGGGAGGGTTGAATTAAATAGTGGTTGTTCAAATCTAACTCTTGAACAGATGCCAGCCATGACTAAAAACTATTTATAAAGTTACCAATTATGCTTACTATGAGACTGTCCTTCCTACATTTTTGGTGTTAAAATGGCTTATTTTATGAGATTATGTGACAGTAGCAGTAGATGGTAGCAGTTGTTAAAGTTCTCCGTAGTCAAAATAAAGAGCTGTAATTCTGTGTAAGCAATCTATAAATTCTTTTTAGAAATTCTAGTGTCTGTATGATTTACGTGAACTCTAAAATTCCTTATACTTCTGACATCCTACATACTCACTATTCAACTAATATTTATTAGGTATCCAATATGTAACAGGTAGTCTACTTGTTGCTGGGCTACCCAAAACCTAAGATTAGTCCCTCCTCTGAAAAGCTCCCAATTTTAATAGGGAAATAGACACATATATCTCAAATATAATATAAATGGGTTAAGTCTTCTAATATAGGTTGTGAATCTTATAATACATGGGAGGAAGAATGATAGAATGGATTTTGTTTTGTATTTTGGAGACTGGGTCTCGCTCTGTCTGCCGGCCTGAAGTGCACTGGCGTGATCTCGGCTCACTGCAGCCTCAACCTGCCAGGCTCAAGGGATCCTCTCACCTCTGCCTCCTGAGTAGCTGGGACTACAGGCATGTGCCACCATGACCGGCTAATTTTTGGGGGGAGGTAGAGGGTGGGGGTGGGGGTAGGTACCCATGAGGTCTCACTATGTTGCCCAGGCTGAATGAATGAATTCTACAACTTAATAAGCTTTTAAAGTGAGTTTTGTAGTTGTAGGATGAGTTAATTATAATCTCTTTAAACCTCAGTTTATTTGTAAAACAATAATGATTACAGATACCACAGAGTTGTGGTACACAGATAAGATGCTATAAGAGGCCATTACAAAAAGTGAAAACGTTCAGCTCACACGCCTTCCAGGAGACAAAAAAAAAAATCATTTAATAATGACACGGTGCAAAAAGAGTTATTTGCAAAACTGTAAATATGTATTTGTTTAAAACACTGTAAAACTCAGTGGTGCTTTTCTTCACTAGCTTCTAAGCAGCTGAAGGTTATAACCAAGTTTGCACCACTTTATATTCCTAGCATCTAGTACAATGCCTAATAAATAGCCGGCATCAATAAACAGTTTATTAGAAAAACTGATTGAATAAATTGGTAAATGGCTAATCTATTTTTACAGAAACTAAAGTTACAGTAGCTAAAAGTAAAAATTCTTAGAACTTTTATCCAAAACTAATTTTATTTATTTATTTATTTATTTAGAGACGGAATTTCGCTCTTGTTACCCAGGCTGGAGTGCAATGGCACGATCTCGGCTCACCGCAACCTCTACCTCCCGAGTTCAAGCGATTCTCCTGCCTCAGCCTCCCGAGTAGCTGGGATTACAGGCATGTGCCACCACGCCCAGCTAATTTTTTTGCATTTTTAGTAGAGACGGGGTTTCTCCATGTTGGTCATGCTGGTCTTGAACTCCCAACCTTAGATGATCTGCTCACCTCGGCCTCCCAAAGTACTGGGATTACAGGCGTGAGCCACTGCACCCGGCCCCAAAACTAATTTTAAATGTGTATTTTGTGCCCACATCTGTCATATTGCAATCTGAATATACATGCATATTTTTTTAGAGACAGGGTCTTGATCTGTTGCCCAGGCTAGAGTGCAATGGTGCCTCACTGCACAATCATGCCTCACTGCAGTCTCAAACTCAAACTCAAATGAGGCACAATCATGCCTCACTGCAGTCTCAAACTCCTGGGCTCAGTGATCCTCCCACCTCAGCCTCCCAAGAAGCTAGGACTACAGGTGCATGCCACCATGCCCAGCTAATTTTTAAAAAATTTTTCTGTAAAGACAGTCTCGCACATGCTGGTCTCAAACTCCTGGGCTTAAGCAGTCCTCCTCGCTTGGCCTCTCAAACTGCTGTTTACAGGCATGCACCACCACACCCAGCTGGGCAGCTAACATTTAATGGGGACTGATTATTTGCCAAAAGCTCTTCTAAGCACCTCCTAGGGATTATCCCATTTAATCCTGAATAACTCTCATGAAATTGACTACTTTTTTAAGAGATGAGGGGTCCTGGCTGGGCACAGTAGCGCATGCTTGTAATCCTAGCACTTTGGGAGGCTGATCAGGTGGATCACCTGAGGTCGGGAGTTTGAGACCAGCCTGACCAACATAGAGAAACCCTGTCTCTACTAAAAATATAAAATTAACTGGGCGTGGTGGCACATGCCTGTAATCCCAGCTACTCGGGAGGCTGAGGCAGGAGAATTGCTTGAACCCAGGAGGTGGAGGATGTGGTGAGCCAAGATCGCATCATTGCACTCCAGCCTGGGCAACAAGAGCGAAACTCCGTCACACAAGAGAAAAAAAAAAAAAGAGAGAGATGGGGGGGTCTTGCTCTGTTGCCCCGAGAGCCATGATGATCATCGCTCACTGCAGCCTGAACCTCCCAACCTCAAGTGATCCTTCTGCCTCTCAGCCTTTCAAGTAGCTAGGACTACAGACATGTGCCACCATGTCTGGTCAATTCTTCTTACTTTTTGTATAAGCAGGGTCCGTCACATTGCCCACACTGGTTTCAAACTCCAGGCCTCAAGTGTCTTCCCACCTTGGCATTACAAGCATGAGCCACTGTGCCCAGCCAAAAGCAACTATTAAATACTCTCATTTTATAACTAGGAAAATTAAGGCACAAATAACTTCCAAGATCACAAAAATACGAAATAGTGGGTACGGGGTTTTTAAAAGAGTAGTAAAATAAAATGGGTTGTCTGACTCCAGAGCCTATTTTTTATTATTATTATTATTTATTATTACCATTTTTTGAGACAGTCTCACTCTGTCACCCAGGCTGGAGTGCAGTGGCGTGATGTCGGCTCACTGCAACCTCTGCCTCCCCTGGGTTAAAGCAATTCTCCTGCCTCAGCCTCCTGAGTAGCTGGGACTAAAGGCACACAACACCACACCCAGCTAATTTTTGTATTTTTAGTAGAGACAGGGTTTCACCATGTTGGCCAGGCTGGTCTTTAACTCAGGCCCTCGTGATCCACCCGCCTTGGCCTCCCAAAGTGCTGGGATTACAGGCGTGAGCCACTCTGCCTATTTTTTAATTAAATAATTTTGTATTTAAAAATCAGAGTTTACCAGAACTGGGAATATTTGCGTCTAATGATTTGATTCTTTTTCTAAAAAATAAGGCCGGGCATGGTGGCTCACACTTGTAATCTCAGCACTTTGGGAGGCCAAGATGGGTGGATCACCTGAGGTCAGGAGTTCGAGACCAGCCTGGCCAACACGGTAAGACCTCATCTCTACCAAAATACAAAATACAAAAATTAGCTGGGCCTGGTGGTGCGCATCTGTAGTCCCAGCTACTCAGGAGGCTATGGCACAGAATCGCTGGAACACAGGAGGCAGAGGTTGCAGTGAGCTGAGATTGTGCCATTGCCCAGACTGTGCCACTGCACTCCACACTCCAGTCTGGATGACAGAGCAAGACTCTGAGTCAAAACAAAACAAAAACAAACAAAACAGTTATTTTATCATGTATGCTAAACACGAAGATATGATACAGTTCCTGCCTTCAAAAGCCCACAAACCAATGCAATATTATAACATTAAGTAGTCACACCTGAATTTTACTGTTTTACATTTAATTATCTCAATGTTTTCTTTTCTTTTTTTTTTTTTTGATACAGAGTCTCACTCGGTCACCCAGGCTGGAGTGCAGTGGCACAATCTCAGCTCACTGCAACCTCCATCTCCCGGGTTCAAGGGATTCTCAGGCCTCAGCCTCCAGAGTAGCTGGGACTACAGGCACACGCCACCACACTCGGCTAATTTTTTTGTATTTTTAGTAGAGACAGGGTTTCACCATGTTGGCTAGGTTGGTCTCGAACTCCTGACCTCAAGTGACTGCCCATCTCAGCCTCCCAAAGTGCTGGTATTACAGGTGTGAGCCACCACACCCGGCCTTCATTTACTCTTAATTCCAAGTATTACAGCCTTAAGTTTTCGGAGAATATAGGAAAGGTTTATATGGTCTTAAAGGAAAAATTAGTTAAAAACCAAGAGAAACTCATTTTGCATGGCCATCTACTTTCAGATAATGTTGCAGGGGTGTTTGTTTGTTTTGAGCAGGGTCTCACTCTGTCACTCTGGCTGGAATGCAGGGATGTAATCACGGCTCACTGCAACCTCCACTTCCTGGCTCAAGCAATTCTCCAGCCTTGGCCACCTGAGTAGCTGGGACTACGGGTGCAAGCCACCAACACCCGGCTAATTTTTCATAGAGATGGGGTTTCACCATGATGCCCAAGCTAG